ACAACTGAGCAGGGAGGCTTCTCCTGAGTCTAGCAGGGTAAGGTCAGGGGTGCTGTGCACAGGGCAGCCCCTCAGGACAAGGAGCTGCCCAATCCCCATTAGTAGTATGCTCAGACAGAGTCACTGAACTAGGTAATAACAGCAAGACATCTGTGCAATTTATAGATATAAACCTCACAGAAGAGAGACCAAGGAGAACACACAGGGAGTGATGACATGGACTGACCCACCCCTTCCCGGCTCAGATCCCTGTAGCTGTGTGGATTTAGTCAATGTCAACACCCTCACCTTGGTTACTACGGTTCCTGTGAAGGTGAAATCCATTCTGATGTACAGTGTTTAGGGTAGCACTGGTGCCTAGTAAGAACTCTACCAGCTCAGAGCTTGCTGTGGTCACTGTCACATGTGGCCCAAATAAAGCACTGACCAGACCCTCTGGGAAAACAAACAGGTGGCGTGCTCTGGGCTGAACGGCAGTGCTGCATAAGAACCATCTCAAAGCTGAACAAAGTCCACTTCTCCTAAGGCCCTTCCCACCCCTGTGCCAATCAACCTAGCTCTTGAGTAAACAGACCCATCATTTCATCACTTTGTTTGTTTGCTTATTTATTTACATTGATGGGGATTGAACCCACATATGCTGTATTACTGAGTTACATTGCCAGTCATTTCTAAACTTTTTATTGTAAGACAGGGTCACACACACACAAAAAGATAGGATCTCACTAAGTTGCTGAGGCTGGTCTTGAACTTGCTGTCCTCCTGCATCAGCCTCTGGAGTAGTGGCATTCCAGGTGTGCACAACTGCCACCAGCTCAGTCAGTCAAATTAAATACAGCAATTGAGCATCTATTGTAAGTACAAAGATGTTCGAAACAAACTTTTGATTTTGAGTTTTCAGGCAAGACAAGACAAACATGAGAAGAAAATAAGCCCCAAAAGCATTTTTAAAATCAATTTTTAAGATGCATTGAACACCTTCTATATGTTCCAGATGCTGGGCTACCAGTTGAGGAAAGAAAAGCCCAAGCTTTTCCAGGTCTGCATTGAAAGACTCCTCAGCCTATAGTAGCAAATGCATTCGAGTCTGAATAATAGCACTCCTGATCTCTGAGCATGCGTGAGGCTCGCAAGCAGCTCAGTGCAAGCAAGGGTTAACTCTCACACAGGTCTGAGGCCGCTTCATAAAGAAAGTCCTGTGCAGAAAAAGGCTTGGAGGATGAATAAGGATTCCAGGATGTGCCAGAGCAGGATGCAGAAACTAGACTCATCTGAATGCCAGGCCTGGAATTCGGAGCCTTTCCTGAAAGTGCAGAATCCCTCCTGAAGGATCTTAAGAGGAAAAGAGGAGGATCAAAGTGGCAATTCTAAAAATCAATATAGTGTGAAGGGAGATGGCTCTTAAGAAATTACTCTATTTCAGATAAGGAATAGGATGACCCTGGGCCAACTGGGTGGCTTAGTGAGTGGTCAGAATGGAAAGTGTGAGCAATGAACACAGCACTCTGCTATTTCTCCAACTCATCCTAACACTTAAACATAATCAGAGCTCTCACGTGCATAGCCCCGTGTTTTGTGTTATCCAGTTCTTGCACCCACAACAAGCCGGTGAGGTGTATTTTATTCTCCTCGTTTGAGAGAAAGGAAAATTGAGATATGACTAGATGGAGTCCATCTTCAAGGACTGTCCATAGAAATCAGTGGTGCCAGATTTCACAGTCGGCCAAGTTGCCCTGGTCTGAGTTCTTCCATTAGAGGATGAGAAGTTTCCTGCCTCTGTGGAAGTCTTGCCTCCTAAACTGACCCAAACCCATGGGGATGCATGGTCCCCAGGGGAGGCTATTCTAAACCTGCCCCTGCTGCAGCCCCAGAAATGTAGAGTGTGCGGAGTCTGAAAGCCTTTCCTTACAGTTACTTCTTGCTGCCACAGGATGTCACCATTGAAAACTTGCCTCCCACAGAAGAAATGTGGCCCTCTGTGCTGGGATTTTTGGTTCACCCTGAAAAGGCTCCAGCCCCATAGATCTCTGCAGAAGAGCCATCTTGCTCCACACCCCAGAGCCACACTCCAGAGCCAGAGTGTCCCCTGATTAGCTTCCCGGGTGTGTCTCGCAGTGTGCCCCTCTTTCAAATGGGCTATCATCTTCCAGCCCTGGGGCTGCATCTGTTCAGTATCTTTCCCAGAACCCCAATCCTCCTGTCCTATCTGTCACTATTTATCTCAAAACATCAAGTTAAGATTACACCCATTTCCTTAGACACACCATCACTCACAAGGGCCTCTAGATGGAAAAAATAGACCTCTCCTGGGGGCCCTGTTATGGGTAACTTTGAATGCTATTCACATGGTTGAATGAGAGTTGGTATTTAATTAGATGTTTAAGATGAGAGGTGCAGAGAGAATGAGAGGGAAGGAAGCCTAGGATGGATGACCTTAGGGTTCTGGTCCTGCTATTTGATGGACCGCCTCATTCCCTGGGAGGGGGCATAAGAGTCAAGTGTTGTTTCTGCACTTGAGATGGTTCTTCTAGGCTCACCAAGGGCAAGGCAGGGGCAGGGGCTTTCCCTTCTACACCTTTTGCAGCCCCTTAGCTTCTCAGGGGCTCACTCTACCAGGCTGGGGATGTATCAGGTGGGGACAAGACATTGAGTTGTCCCCTTCTAGGAGAGGGCATTGGGTTAGGGAATCTCTGGGCTTAAAAGCCATCATCCCAGCTGGAAGTCTGATCGGTGTCCTGCTGGTCTATCCATGAGCAGCATTTGGAGAGGAAGACATCACAGTAAGAATTTGTAATACCGTTATATGCAGGACAGGGCAGGAGGTTCTGGGACAAAGTCAATCATGCTATCTCAAGGTTCGTTGAGAGCCTAGTCACAAATTTATATGTACATATGTATAAAATGTATGTATATTACATATATATGACACATAGACATACCCAAACATATATATCTGTATGCTTTTTTCATTCAAAAATAAAAAATGTATGATAGACATGTACATGAAATTCTCATTCCTGTGCCAAATTTTTCCACTCAGTTCCACCCCACCCAGTCCCCCAAATTAAGACATTTCTCCAAGGTCTTTTACAACCTTCTAGCACATTTCCATGCCAGTGCAAATATATGTTTACATGTATGTCTGTCTCCTTGTTTCACAAAATGATTTTGCTTTAAACATGTTCTGAACTTTTGCTTTTAAGTTACTACATCATGGATTACTTTCATTCAGATAAATGAAACCCATTCTATTGCAAGAGAACCAAGATCCTAGATCATCTCCTCTACAAGAGACTAGGAAACTTAGAGGAAAACTTGTGGGGGGAGGGGGGCAGAACTTGAATTGACTTTCAAAAATGAGTGTGAATAAAAATGCAATGTCAATGTTAAAATAAACATTGTATGATTTTTTTTTTAGTTGTAGATGGACACAATAACTTTATTTAATCTATGTATTTGCATGTGGTGCTGAGGATGGAACCCAATACCTCACACATGCAAGGCAAGTGGTCCACCACTGAGCTACAACTGCAGCCCCAACATCATATGACTTTGATCACATTTTTATAAGTTTAAATTAAAGGTATGCATTTTCTTTTTGGAAAAACAAATTCATTTATTCATTTATTTCCCATTCACCAAACATTCCTGTTCCCGTCTTGACTGAGTGCTATGCGGAGAATAAGCAAAGCACAGACCAGGGACATAACCTGCCCAGGCCCCGTGGCAATGGTCTCCTCGAAATGCCCTTTTCTGCAGCTTAGCACCCATCCTGTCCACTGCCACAGTGGTCAATCTGGATGACCTTGCCAACATTCTGATCCAGCCTTTCTCCTGCTGAAATTCCTTTAATGTCCTCACTGTCCTCAGCATCAAGTCCCACCTTCTTACTTGAATCCCAGTGCTCCTGATGGGTGCAGCCGCTCTTGCCTGGCCTCTCCTGGCATGCTCTGCCCCAGGTATGCTGGGTGTGCATGCAGTGTGGATGAAACCACCCAGCTGGCCTGGCTGGGCTCAGGCCTCTGCCTGCCTGTCCTCAGGCTCTAAAATGAGTAATCTCCTACACCAGTCACCTCTCCCATTGCCTACTTTCAAGTGTCTTTCCCTTATTCCTTATAACCACCCCCCAACTGGATTGGAGGTCACTCACACTGATGGCAATATAACCTGTGTCTCTGACTGGGTGTGAGTGAGTGTAGCCCAGTGTAATGGAGTGAGCACTGGCCTTCCAGGTCCCAATCTTAGTTCCACCTCTAAGGTTATCTTGTCATTGTGACTGACATGCCATGGGAACACAGGGATGTGAGAATTAAGGTGTCCCCGTATCAAACGCCCCCTGAAGGAAGCTCGGTAGATGGGAGTTAGCTTAGCCTCCCAGCGTTCTCTTCTCTTTCTTCGGAACCCCTCACATCCTTACGCCTCCATGTTCCCCTTAAAGTAAGGAGACCAGCACATGATGGGTGAGTTAGCTGGTTGCGGCCCCGCTGACGTCGTGGTGAAGGTATGGATTGATTGCCCAGGCGATCTCACACGGTGCCCAGTCGATCTCACGCCCTGCCCCGGCCTCGACTTGTTGCCCTGGGATCCACTTCCAGGTTTAACTCCCTGCTGCTGGGGTCTGCAAAGGACCCCCTCTTTCAGTTGCATCCCCGTCTTCCAGCTCGGGAGGGCAACCCCGACGTGGAGACTGAGCATGCTCGCGGCCGCAGGGCTGTGAGGGCCGGACGTCTGTCCAGCGGCTGGCGCCCTCCTCAGGCCGGGCGGGCGGGCGGGGTTGGTCCGCTGGGCAGCCTGCCCGGCCGGAGGCTCCGAGCTAGGAATCGCGGGGGAGAGGGACAGAGGTGGGGCAGCGCGAGCGGCGCCTCCCAGCCAGTCGCGCAGCCTCCCGGCGGTGCGCTGCGACTGCGGGAGCCGAGCCAGCGGGAGCGGCGGGCGGGCTCTCCAGGCCGCGAGGGCGCGCTGCGCGGCGCGGGGGTCTGGCCGCGTCCCGGCGGGGAAGGAGAGGAGCAAGGGCGCCGGAGGTGAGCAGAGCCCGCGGGACGCGAGCCCTGGGCGCCCGCGCAGCCTCTCGGTCCTTTCTCCCGGCAGTGGCGGCGGCCGAATCCCCTTAACCATATTCGCACTCTGGCCTCCCGGCGCCTTTCCTGGGGCTGTCCGGAGGCCGTGGCCGGGCAGCTGTTGCACCGAGAGGGGGCAGCTGCGGAGTTCCATAACCATAGCAACCGCATCAGCACCACGGCGGCGGCAGCGGCGCGAGGGCAGCATCCTCTCGCTCCTCCTCCAGGCAGCCTCGCCTTGGGGACCTGAGACCCAGCTCGCAGGTGCCGCGGACTCCTCCGTCCGCCACCGCTGCTGCAAGTGTTGGCGGCTGGAGAAGGCAAAAAGAGGAGGGTGACAGGCCCGGAGCCAGCCGAGCTGGGCCCTAGGAGGTGAGAGAGGGGAGCCCTGCAGTAGGAGACAGGTAGGTGAGAGCGCTCCGGGGTCTGCAGCTGCAAACTCTCTGTGGCAGTGACGTTTCTGGAAGCGTGGTCGCTAGTTGGATGGCTTTCTATTACTGAACGGGGATTCTGCCGCGAAATGTGGTTGATCTTCTATTTCCTCCAATCTTTCTGTCCTTTGATCTTGCCACACATCTGGGCAGGTGTTCCAGCGGGCACGAAGGGGCTTCGTGGTGATGGGTGAGGAGATGCTAAGTTAATGAGGTCGTCTCCACAGAAGTCTCAGGTAGTGCCTGAGGGGGCACATCCGGACCCCTGTCCACCCAGTTCCTCTGAGCTGAAGAAGACCATGTTGGGGCAGAGGGGGCAGTGGTAGCCACTTTCTGGTGGTCCAGGCTGACTCAGAAACCCGTTCTTTCCTGTGGCTTGGTTTGGGGCAGAGGTTGGGGGGAGGCACTGCAGCTCAGCTATGACATGGAAGGGGACCAGAGCATATACCAGCTCTTCATCCATAAAGACAGCTTCAAATCCAGCCACTGGAGGGGATGTGCAGACAAGGAAAATAGTAACTCTTACCATTTGGACACCAGGGGTATCCCTGGAGTTTTTCATGCTGTTGTCATTGACTCTTGGCCATGGGGTGGGAGTAGAAACACATCCTTAAGCTAGCAGTCAAGATTGCCCTCTCCCCTTCTCTTTACCTAATTTCTTTAAGCTTCCTCCTTACTGCAAGTTAAACCAGAAGTGCATGGAGCGCCCCTTGGCCATTGGCAAACTGGCCCACTTTCTGAAAATCAAAAAAATCCCACTTCAGTTCTCCTTTTGAACTGGGGTGGGGGATTATTTTCTATCAGGTTGGAATGCTCTTGATGTTCAGTGATATTTCAGAGCCCAGAGGCACCTGGGCTATCCATACTGCATGATGGAGCGTTGACTACATCTGTAGGCCAGAGGTTAGAACATAATTCCAAACCGAGCTCAGCTGGGAACAGGGCCCCAGAAGACTGTAAGAGCAGGGAGGTTTGGTTAGGTGAGTAATTTGGGTCTGAAAGCTCTTTCATATAGGTAAGTAGGTCTCTGGGTAATTTCCAACATGGACAGCCGTTGACTTTGAAAGGGTTCTCTCTTTATATCCTGGCCTCAGGAGACTGTGGTAAGTCCCAGTTAAAAGGCTATGTTCTTTAATTGGGCTTTTAATTTATGATGTAGTTATATTACCTGAGGGGATGTGAGTTGGACAGCATTTCATCTGGGGATTCATGTCATAATGAGGACAATATTATCATATCGTAGGAGACAGTAAGATATAGAGGAAAAAGGACAGGATTTAGAAGTCAGAAAACAGGGGTTTGAATTTTAATTTCACCACACACTTGCTGTATGACCTTGAGTTGTTCCAGTTGCTCAGATTTCTTTCTCTCATCTGTGGAATGGGATGCTAAGACTCCTTGCAGTTCACCAGTCTCTTGTAACTATCAAGTGGGATGATAGAGAGGGTGGATGGAAAGGACTTTTAAAAACCTAATGCCTTGTGCAAGTAAAATGTATTAACATCATCTTACAAAGAAATCACCTTTCTCAGATCAGCAAATCATGTAACAGTTGTGGGAAGGCAGTGGCTATATTATTCGGTGACTCATGGTTGAAACACTGTAGTCTGGTCCAAGATACACTCAGGGCCATATAAGAGGGCTTTATTGGGGGAATATGCTGCATGTCATCCTTCTTGCTCACAAGAGCTGAAGGTCAAGAGTTTTGCCATCATGTGCAGTAGTTGTCTAGTTTGACACAGTGAGGTCTGCTTACCCCAGAGTGGAAATAAGCAGCTGATCATGTAAAAAGACTTGCACAGAGTGGGATCTCACTTAAATGTTGGTTAGATGGGTACATTGGATACGTTGTAGGCTTCTTTTAGGCAGGTTCCCTTCATCCAACTCTGCTCTGTAATGCCAGAGCAGAGTTTACCAAATGTTTGCCTATTTTGGTGAAATTGAACACTTGCCCCTTGATTTCCTTGCTGGGGGAACTGTAATTTCTGGAAGGAGCCTATGCTATGTTATATCATTCCCTGATCTTTTCTACTCCTTTGTTTGCTCGTGCTGGTCCCTGCAGAGATAGACCATTTCTTTCTTCTTCCCACCCTCAATGACCTGATTCAGAGCCTCCCTCCTGTGGGACACCTTTCCAGGGTCTCTCTCATGTGCTTCTACGACACTTTGGATCTGTTTTGAGACAGGTTGTGCTGTGTCATTGCTTGCATTCATCCTGGTCCTCTCTCTAAATTCTGTGCTTCCTGAGGGCAGGGGCCTCCCCCTATCCTACCTTGGCTGTGCCAAGCACCTGGTGCAGCAAATACCATGGAGAATGAGCTGCGTGATGGTCGGACCTTACCTGCAGCCTGACCACCTGTACAGGAAGACCATTATGAAGGCTGTCCCTGGCTGCTCTCCCTGTCATGTGCAGAATGCCTGGGTTATTGGGCATTATTTAGGGTCAATCTACTGAAGCGGAGCCAAGGAGAACAGAAACACTTACTTTGCCTCAAAATGCTCATTTTTTTTCAAGTGGGCACTTTAGAATAGCTGTAATCTGGAGTTGAATGGCCTTCATATAACATTTGCTGAAAATCTCCAATAGAATATTTTAGACTTAAAATGTGTTTCTCTCCCTTCAATTTCTTTCCTTGATTTCAACTCCTATAAATGGGAAAGCATATAAATTGAATTTAAAAGGTCTAGATTTGAATCTGTTCCAAAAGAATGTGGAACTAGGGCACTTGATCTCCTTGTGCCTCAGTTTCCTCACTTATAAAAATGTGATTATTAATGCCAATCTCACAAAGAGACTAAGCACTTGGAATGAGTTAAAAGTAGGATCGTAGAAGCTTTTAATAAACTGTAAAATATTCTACCCCAATATATTTTTTTCTTTTCCTTAACTTTTGTTCTAGAAAATGAGCAAAATCCCTCTGCCTAATTATGTAGCATCAGACAAAATGAGCTTCAAATCCAGGCTTCTCCTCTCATTAGCTCTGTATGACCTTCAGGAAATCATTTTGCTCTCTCAGCCATTTGCTCTATCTGCATAGTATTATGATGACAGCTACCTTTCCAGGTAGGTTGGGGACATACACACTAAGAAAACAGGCATGTAATTTCCAAATGGTAGGTACAGTTGCCCATAACATAAAATTCCAGAATATTTTGAAATTGTCAGAATACATTTCTTCCCTGAACTTCATCTACCTTTACTAAGGAAATAGATAACAGTACCCCCACCCCCCACAGAGTCTCCTTTTTGTTAGGTGTATAAGGTTCTGTGAGGAGTAAGGTAAGCTAAAGATTCAGATCCAGGCACTGAGTCCCCCTGTGACAGTGACTGCCTAGCTCTATATCAGTGTTCATCTCTGCTGATCTATGTCCTCCTCACCCAGGTGACAGCTGTGGCTCTCTATCTAGCCTTTACTTAGAGGCTCTTAGTTTTACACTTCAGTGTGCTCTATACCCATACCTCCATCACCAAATTTCTCTCCTTTTTGAATTTTCCCAGCTAGATGTTTCCAGAGTGTCCAAAGCGATCCTGAGCCTTAGAGAGTTGTTGAACACCCACCTCCATCTCTCCAGCCCAAGATCCATTCTTGTCTACCTCCAGGCAAGAAGTTTGGCTGCTGTATCCAGCCTGGAAGGTCTTTATTCAACATAAGCACCTGTCTTACCTGAGAGGGCTGGCGGAAATTCATGACATTGCTAATATCAGCTGAGCTTGCCAGACACTGGGTGCTCAGCAATGTCAAGTGTTTCTGCTCAAACATGAATTTTTTTCTAGGTGGCTGCACAGCCATGTCAGGAGTGCTTGTGGATGGGGGGCTCAGATCTCAAAGGAAACTGGATCTGTGAGCACAGGCTCTGTGACCCTCTGCTCTGGTGTGGATGGAGTGGCACTCTGACATGTGGGGTACGGGAAATGTGCCTAAGTGACCTGCCTTGTGCCACTCATCATGCCAGACCCTGGGAGTCACTCACGAACAAGACAAGGTCTCTGCTTTTCAAGGGGTAAGAGGGATGTCCTTGGGGGATCAGAGATGAAAACTGATGAGAAGGAACCAGATGGTGCTCAGAGTGTGGCATGTGGAGTCAAGACAAGGACTTCTGACCCCTTTCCTGGGAGGGGTGGTCAAGGATGGCTTCCCAGAACAGGAGTCTAAGCTGATGCCTTGAACTTCCCCATGGAGAACAGAGGAAGAGAAAGCCAGCGGAGGGGGAACCATGCAGGAGCTGGAGGCAAGAGCACTAGGGGGGGCCCTGAGGAGCAGCTGAGGCGGGAGGGCCACGTGAGGCTGGGAGAGGAACAGGGCTGGTCTCCCGGAGTTCCCTGAGCCAGTCTGCAGGCTCCTCCCCTCACCAGGAGCCACGCAAAGGCTTGGAGTTGGGCGGAAGGTGCTTCCAGCTGCACAGTGGAGGCCAGACTGGGGGAGCTGGATGGAGCAAAGAGCCTCTTTGCTGATCAGAGGTCCCTGAATTCACGGATGAGAGCTGGGACCAGGAGAGGGGATGCCCAGGAGATGGTGTGGGAGGGAACGTGAGGGAGGGAGGAAAGGAAGTGAGCACACTGCGTCACCTCTCAGGAGGAGGTCCTGGGACACTCTAGGGACTTGGTACCAGTGATGCGGGCCAGGGGGGGCTCACAGGTGGCACTGTCACAGGTGGCACTGGGCGTTACTTTCCATCCTCTTCACGTTCTCTCTGGCTCTCTCAGGCCCCACAAGCCAGGCTTTGACCCAACCTCCCCACCTGGCCCTGCGCTCTGCCTGGGGCAGCCAGGGAGACTGCAGGGAACCAGAACTGCGTCACCTTCATCTGCTCCAAGCCCTGCATGGCTCCCTTCCCAGGCTGCGGGCTGCTGCACCCTGCAGGACCTCAGCCCTTCCACCCCAAGTGCTGCCATGGCTCTCCCTCCTTCTCCCAGACCTGCCTGCTGCCCCCACTGTGGCCTCCTTCCCACCACTTCCTCCTGGGATGCCTCC